TAGATTACTTACATTGGAATCATTTAGAGAATCACTGATCCATTAGTTGAAAATTCATATTCTAAGAACAGAGCTCCAAGTATCCAAAAGCCTTCATAGTGTTAGATTTGCAAACTTTTAAAAGGTTTATAAAACTTAGTCAAAAATAGGATGTTTGGCTTTTTATTGTCAATTTTTAATCCCTTTTCTTTAATTTTATGTACTTTGTCATTTCAGACATTATTTCTTTGTAATTTTTCTGCTCCTTTCTGTCCTCTTTTCTAGTTCTCCATTAGTATTTGTTGGAATGCTTAAAGGTATCCACATTCTGCTGATATCTTTGTTCGTTTTCCTTCATTCAGTTTTCTCTTTGATTGCATAATCTCTATCAACATATGTTCAAGTTGACTGTCTTCTGCCATTCAAATCTACTATTGAGCCCCACTAGTGAATTTATCATTTTGGTTGTACTTTCCAACTCCAGAATTTCTATTTGGTTCTTTCTCTAATTTGTCTCTGTATTGATATTCTTTATTTGATGAGACGTTATTACAGCTCCCTTTGCTTCTTTGAGCATGGTTTCCTTTTGTTCTTTGAACATATTTATAATAGCTCTTTTGAAGTATTTTTCTATTAAATTTAATGTCTGGGTCCTCTCAGTTTCTGTTGCCTACCCTTTTCCTGTGTATGGGTCACACTTTCTTGTTTCTTTGCATAGTCTCATAATGTTTTGTTAAAGATTGAACATTTTAGGTTACATATCATAGCAACTCTGGATACTGATTTCCTTCCACCTTCTGGGGCTTGTTTTTATTGTTTTTTGCTTGTTTATTTGGTTAGTGACATGGCTAAACCACTTTAATAAAGTCTAATTCCCCCTGTAGTATTAAGCCTTTGTCACTCCTCAGAGAGCTCAGCCTTGAGCACATCCAAATCACCTTGGGGTGACAGTGATTTTAGCAGGGATCTCTTTGACTGCTTTTATTTATCGATTAAACTGTCTGCCTTGTTTGATATCACACTCATTTGTTCTGCTCCACTAATTAATTACTAGCCGATTGCTCTGTTTTCAACAGTGCCAGGGGCATAAATTATCCCACAGTCTGATCAATTTAAATTTGGGAAGCGTAGACTTTGAGGCATGTCTCAGATTTGTTCTGACCCCAGGAGGTCTCTTCTTAGCTGTCTGTTTCTCTGGTTCTTTCTGATGAAGTAGCTGGCTTATGTTTAGCTTGTTACTCTTAATTTAGAGGAGCCATTGATTTCAGGAAGGTCTTTAATCCTGAGCTTCTCCACACTTTGTTTTAAATAAAGTCAGATCCTTTTGGTAAAGCTTCAGAGCTCTTCTTTCCTATGGAATTCCTCTTTCCCCAGGGCAAAATCCCAGAGCTATTATTCTGGGTGTATGTTCAACTGGAGGTAACCTCTGATCTTCTTGGGTTGGCCTATCCCCGTGTGGACCCTCTGCCCTATGAATGAGCTGGGGTGAGGGCCATCTCAGTTTGTGAAGGAGGTGGTATTCTTGTCCTGCTGGGCCACTGGAATAGAACTTCCATCCTGTGGGTGGAGACTGGGTGGAGAAAGGGAGCACCAAACTTTTGGCTAGACACACTCACCAGCAAGGGAGCCCTTTTTTGGCTGCACCTAACTGGAGCGAGGGCTCCCTAAAGCTGAGGAAAGGAAGGAGCAGGTCACGGTTCAAATGCTGCAGACTCTTATTTGATTTTCTTGAGTAAATGTTTCCTTATAAAATTTATCATCTTAAACCATTTTTTAGTATACAGTTCACTGTTGCTAAACATATTCACCTGTTCAGCCAATCTATAGAACTTTGTCATCTTACAAAACTGAAACTATATACATTAAACACTACCTCACCATGCCTGCCAATACCACCCATCTTCTGTCTCTATGTATTTGACTACTCCAGGTAACTCACATTAGTCAAATCATACAGTATTTGTTTTTTTGTGATTGACTTCTTTCACTTAGCATGTCATCACAGTTTATTCGTGTATAGCATATGTCAGAATTTTTTTTAAAGGCTAACTGTTATGTATATATCACATTGTGTTTATCCATTCATCTGTCAATAGACAATTGCTTCCACATTTTGGCTGTTGCAAATAGTGCTGCTGTGAACATGAGTATACAGATAACTCTTTGAGATCCTACTTTCTGTTCTTTTTTGGGTATATACCCAGAAGTGGAATAGTAAGATCATACAGTAATTCTATCTTTCATTTTTACCATTTTCCACATCAGCTATAGCATTTTATGTTCCCAGCAGCGATGCAAAAAGTTCTGATTTCTCCACATTCTTGTTGAACTGTTTTGTTTTGTTTGTTTGTTTTTGATAATAGTCATCTTAAGGGGTATGAAATAGTATCTAGTGGTTTTGATTTACATTTTCCTAATTAATGAATTTGGGCATCTTTTCATGTCATTATTGGCCATTTGTATATCTTCTTTGGACAAATGTCTATTTAAAGCTTTTTAAAAATTTCTGTTTCAGCTCAGATTTCTTTTATCCAAGATATTGGAAGGCTTCCTCTGACGCGACACTTTGGAAGGTATGCTGATAATTTTAATTTTCAAGAGCTGTTACTGAAATGTCCATTGACTACGTTGTCTGTTTTTTCAATATACAGTCAGTAAATGTTATCTGTTAAATCCAAGAACTACATATTGGATCCAGTGATTAAAGATCATATGATTGTATTGTAGACCCATCATTTTATTACATTTAAAAGCATATTTTCACCAGCTTACAATGGAAAAAGACTTAATAGAATCATGGAATCACAAAGGCAGAGGAATCTTTAAATTCTCTAGTTCAACAAATCTTTCATATCTGGAAATCCCTTTTCAGCTTTCCTGTTAAGAGATGTTCTTAGTCTGTGTTTGAAGCCTGAAATGACCAGGAACTACAAAAGCACTGTTATTGGTTCAGCTATTTGATCTGACTTGGGAGGCAGGATTTGTCAGTGCTACTTATTAAATGACTAGTTTGTTATCTTTCATTTATGATGACCACATTTAACATTATCTTTGCTTCCTATTGAATGATATTAAATATTAATATTTAGCTAATTAATATTTTAATAGCTGCATAGTTTCCTATAATTCAACCTATACCTTATTTTTGTACATTTAGCTTATTTCCAACTTTTATTATCACAGACTTCCTTATAGCTAAATCATTATACACATCAAATACTATTTCTAGGATGAATTCCTAGAAATAAAATTGCTGGATTAATCAATATACATCTTTCTGAGGCCCTTGCTCTCTATTGCCAGATTGCTTCCAAGAGTATGTTGACAATTTTATGCCCTCTTTAGTGTATCTTGTATTCACTGGGTTTTATTATTTTAAAAGGTCTTTGCCAGTTTAAAAAATGACAGTAGTAGCTCATTATTTTAATTTCCATTTTTAAAATTATAAATTAGGTTGAACGATTTATTTTATTGCCATTGATATTTTTTCTATAAGTTTTCTGTGTTTTATGTCTTTTTCTATTTAATTTCTTTTAATTTGTAAGAACTCTTTACTAAAGACATTAATCAGCTCGTTTGTATTGTAAGTTGTAATGATTTATTCACAACTTGTAATTTACCTTGTACTTTTTTGTTTATATTGTTAAATAAATTAAAAGGCCTGGCTAAAAAGTAGAATGAAGGTAAATGAAAGCTACAGGAGATGCCTTCAGAATCATCTTACTTGTGGTATAATTTAAAGGAATCCCCTCTTTTGGTTATTAATGCCTGCATTATAAATCTGGCAGATTGAAAATGGAAGCCCTGACTGACAGGGAGCATGGAATGATAGACCCAGAAAGTGAAGATGAAGCCCAGCTTAAGCGAGGGCAGCCTGCAGAGGAAGCTCTGGATGAACCCACTCAGACTGCTGATCCTGAAACCTGGTCCCCTCCCTTGAGTCAGAATAGTGGGAGTGAACTGCCTGCGAGCCAGCCTCAGCCCTTTTCAGTGCAGGAAGACATGGAAGAAGACAACATGATAATAGAAGACTATGAGAGCGATGGGACATAGAAACCAGCCTGCTAATCACGTAGTACTTGACAGATTTTTATTAGTTTTATTCAGTGGTACTTGTACAGACGTAATATGCTTTGCAAGTAAATTACAACTTAAATCTTCACTCTTGTGGTTGCTCAGCACAAGAAACTAATTCTTTTGTCATCTTGAAGTAAATCGAAGATCAAGCCTTCAAATAATATCTTAATTTTTTTCTCCAGTATTTATTTAGTCTTGTGAGTGGTATTGGGAGGGGAGGTCAGTGTGTATGAAGTGTATTTGAACATTATGCCAAATATCAGAAAATGTGAAGGAATAATTCAGAATACAGAAACTTTATGGGGTTGTAAATACGAATTAAAAGACAGTTTAGTATACAATTATGAGTGTAAATAAACTTTGTGCCTTAATCACAGTTTCTTTGTGGTCTCTGGCTTCTCAGATACCATTTTTATATGTTGTACAGTGGAATATTTTAGATACCTCTTGGAAAGAAATTATTTTACATAATTTATATCAAAATTAAAACGTTGAATTTATTTTTGTTTCTACCATCTTTTAATATTTTCCTAACATGTACTGTCTACCATGCGTCATTGAGCATAGTATGTGAATCTCCATCCAGTGTCAAAACTTTTCAAAAAATAGGAGGTGGATGGCAGCCTTGCGATGAGAACTCTCGGAAGGGATTAATCACACCCCAAACTACCTTTCCGGAGCTCTTAGTACAGAGCCTGGCTTGTTAACTTTGCTGTGAGGGGCGGGGGCGAAGGGCGCGCGCGGAACTGCCTGGGCTCCAAGCGGGAGACCTGACAAAGCCGGGCGGGGCAAGGCTTGGCTCGCCCCGCCCCAGGAGCCCGATCCAGTTTCAGTCCCGTGGGCGGCG